TTCGACAGTTGTGCGTCGAAAGTCTATATGTTGGTGCGATTGTATATGCTCTTTTTGCGCATGCAGCGTAAATAGAAAATAAATGAAAAACCCATATTAAAATTTTATTAATCCCGCAGACAGTTACCAGGACAGAACCATTGTGAAAGATTAAAAGATTATATTTGCGAAAAAAAGGACATGTCAAAACATGTTCCACAAATGTTCTATATTGAACCATGTGAAATATTTTATATCAATTTTAGATAATTTCAAGAAAACATTAAATGTACGTAAAATTTTGAAAAGCTTTTAATAATTCTTTTTACATTTTTCCTAATATATTTTATTTTATATTAATTTTTTGTATTTAAAAAATATAAAAGAAGCTTAAAAGTGGAAAGGAGATTAATACAAAATATATTTTTACTTTCATACATTTTGGATATATGCTATATGATGTCCACATTCTTTTTAAATAACACGGGAATTTAGAGATTGAAAAGGAACATGTTTCCGAACCACCTTCGGAGTATTAATTAGACGACACTTGTACAACTAGAAACGCGATACCGAGGTAGTTTCCCACGTAAAATTAAGTGGACACTGTTATCTAAACTCCCCCATAAACGTTGTAAACTCGTGACGCGAAACTCGCGTTTACGCACGCGATCCGTGCGTCCGCAAAATAGCCTCGTAGTCGTCATATACATCGTATACGTGTTGAAGGCGTTATTTACAATGCGCGATTATATCCGGCTCGGTTTCGTGCCGTCTGCCGCCGCGTTTGTGCGCACGTAATGCGATAATTCGCGTTATTACACGTTGCCGAGTTCGTCCGTAATCGCCATTAAACGGCTATAAATGTTACGAGTGTCTGTCTGATGCCTATCTGTTTTATTGTAGACACGTATTATAAAAATGACAATTGCAGAGGCTAAACTTCACAATCAGTTCTTTTTATCCGACAATGAAAAGCATACGTGTGTGAGTTTAAAAATTTATTTTTTTTCTTTCAAAGAAGCATACAAAAACTGAAAATTGCTTTTACTTTTATTATACATAGATTGGATAAATAAAAATATGGGTTTTTTTTTAGTGCAGTTAAAATTTTATAAAATTTTAAATTTTGCTTTTTGCTGTTTTCGGGATACCATGTATATTCGAGAATGGCTAGTGTGTACGAGGCTAACTTTTATCGCGAAGATGACGTATGATTGTTCCGCTGCATGTAAATGTCAGGGGATGCTACCATCTGACAGGTCGCTGCTTCGCGATGCAGTTATCTGCTCTATCGGGAATGCGCTTCTTCCGTTATACATGAATACAAGATATACAGTGTGATGCAGACTAGCCACCTCTATTTAATCATTTTTTTCGTTCGAAATTTTGCGATACAGTATTTTTTTTATAATTTACTTTATATTAATTATTTGCAAATAATAATTATTGACATTTTAATATCACAAGTGTCAAAATACAAATTTTCTTTAAATGCAATTTACTCAACATTATATTAACCACTTACTTTATTTTTAATCTGCACTTATATTTTTAAAATGATTTATTCTATACGATATTTTTATTGCGAAAACAATTGATTTTTGATTGATCGGAGAAGTAATAGGTAAATTTTTAACACCCAGTGTACCCGATTGATTTTGGGGGTCAATCGATTTGCGACTTGGAACTGGTCCTACATTCGTGACATGACGGAAGCTGTTCTTCTGTATAAGCGATGCCTCTCGCGGGTTTTCGCGTTCTATCGAGCGAACAGCGGAAGCTGCGGATAAAGCGGACGAGAACTCGATTTCGTTGAGCGCTGCTGAGTCGTACCCCAAGGGCGGTCTCCGATGTACATGGTGTCGCGAATACGAATCAAACGCGTCGAATTTAGAAAATATAATTTGATCTAAAATAATATAATATAGAGAATTTAAAAAATAAATATTACATATTAGGATAAATTTGAGCAATTTTGTAATATATAGAAGATTGACATGCATAGATTAATTAATAGCGATGTGAATATTTATGATCGAATAGAATGTAGATATTTCTGGATTTAAAAAATTGCTTTTAAGGATTGTTACGTAAATATATACCGTATGAATCGTATAAGTACAAATTAATGATTGAGATTAAAAATTACTTTGACATTTTCGTTTTATGAAAAAAGAAATTCACCCTGTATTAATAAAAAAAATTGCAAATTAATGAATAACACAAAAGAATGAAATAAGGAAAATTCTTTGAAAAGTTCTTAAATTTTCTGTCGGATATATTCCATCTGCAGTATTCGTGCGAAATAATTCTTGGGAGCGTTTCTCGTATTATCACCCCGAAGGAGCGAGTTTTAGGAGCAGCTGAAAACGTAACGGAGATCGTCTCTCGTTTGGTTAGTTCTACTCTATTCCAAGAGAAAGCCCGGAGATCGTAGATCTCGCTTTTGGCTTGATTACGCGATAAAACACGCCGTGAACGAAGGGGCGAGCGAATATCTCCTCTGCCCTCGAAGTCGAGCGCCATGAATAAAGCGCGTCGGAACGACTTCGCGAATCGAATTTCCTGTCCGAGCTCCGTTTGTTTATTACGTGTCATCTCCCCCCCTGGTCATCCATTAAAATTAAGTCGGCATAAAAACCATTTTATTCGCTTTCTCTCATTTTTCCTTCTATTTTATTCGTGAAATATTATCGTCGAATAGAAATGGATCGCAAAATGCGCGCATAATTTCGATTAATTATCATGAAAGGTCTATAAAAATAAAAATTGCAATTTTTTGCAAAATGTACTTTAAGCGCGATAATGGTTATTTATTATTTTATTAGTTTTGCGATTTTATTTTAATTTAGAAAAAATCTATTCTATAATCCTTAAATTCTTCAAAGAAGCTAATTGATATTACATGCGTTAGATCTGGGATGATAAAAAATATCTCGTGTTTTCTCTAATTTTTTTAAATATAAGATTTTCTTTAAAACAAGATTTTTATGTTTTTCTAAACAAGATAATGCAGAAAATAAAGTAAATACATATTGAATTGGACATATTCGGACTTTTATTCGGCCACCGAAAATCGAACTTGATTCCGGACTCGATACTCTAATACTTGTCCAGCTACTATGTTCAACGTTTAATTGAATCTACCTACGACAAGGGACGCGATTACATCGCCCAATAGAACGTTCCCGTGTTTCATGAGAATCGCATTAGTTCGGCTCCGTGTACTCGAGAGATGTACGGTAATTTTTTTTTTTTTTTTACGAATGGAATCAAATTTTGACATGTCAAATTCTAGTTATTCATATTATATTATGATATTAAATATGAAGAAATAAATGCTTGTAGATTTTTTGCATATAATATTATCTATATATTCATATATATTTATATTAATATTTAATATTTTAAAATTAAAAATATTTTATATCTTAATGAAAGTAATGCGGAAGTTTAAAAAATTTTTTTAAATTTTATATAAGTTTGTCAAAGAAAAAGAAAGAAAAACGATAAGAAATTTCACTGTGTGGAAAATTTTAGTCTTAGTCCTTTATCGTCTTTTTATACATTTAACGAAGGTATGTGATGAGAAGATTGTTGAGTAGTTTGTCAAAACCGGAATGTAAAGATCTTTCCTGATCTTATCTGATCTTTTCTCAGGTAAAGGTTTTATTTGAGATAAATTCCGTTAACCAAGCTTCCATTGACCTGAACAGTGCTGTACGGTTTTACATAACTCGAAAACTCCTGTGTAAGTCTGAGGAATTTTTAACGCGTCTACTTTTCCTTGTTCAAAATGCAGGACGTCGCTTAAACGTTACGGAGAAAAAAAATACAGCGCGTGCATTGTCATTACCGGCCTTGTGATCGTTTTTTTTTCTCGCGCACGCTCGTTGCACTTTAACTCTGCGCCATTATCATACCACTCGCGTACCAATTGCAATTAGTTTCGTTTTACTTACTATGCGAATCATTCCTCTAAAAATTCATGACGATAAATAAAAATCACAATTCACGCGAATAAAAGATTTTTATTATCAATGCAGATTCAAACATTAATTCGAAATTTTTAATGATGAAAGAATTCGTATTAATGTGCGATTATCATAAGTTGTTGAGAAAATATATATATTTTTATTTCTTAATTAAGTAATTCCATTTCGAAATAATCTTCAAGAAGATTTTTCTCTTGCTTCGATATTTTAGTTAACTTTAGTCTAAGTAATTTTTTTTACATCGCGCGTTTTTTAAATTTTCATCGATTGTGTGATTTATTAAAATATTTTTTTCTTACACGCATACATATACCGAGCTATTTCATTCGTATATTACGTAGCGTTATTTCGCGCGAGTCATGCCATGCGAAGGTAGCATAATAATTCGACGATAACGCGCATTTATAACTGTTATTTATTCGCAATTTTTTCTCCCTCCCTGCAGAAACTCCTCCGTCTGGCCCATTCTCGGACATTTTAACCGACTCATATCCGTTGTATTACATACATTGCATATTATTCTATGATTCGTGATTTTGCATAGTTGCGAAAGCAGCGATATATCAATCCGTAAAAAAAAAGAAAAAAACTTTTGTAGTCTTCTATAATTTAATCTTTATTATCTTAAATGTTTTCTATTATGTAATAAACATGTATTTTATCGAATATTTTAGCTCCTTTTCTGGAATATTACTTTAATTAGGAAATACATTTTCTCTTCAAAAATAATAAATTTTTTTTTATTAGTCATTTTTATGATAAAATACTAATATTAAGATAACACATTGATAGTAAAAAACAATTACTTTTATCTTTTAAAATACTTTAACCTTGTGATATAATCAGTATAGAGAAGCAAGATTATTTATATCGATACTTATAATTAATAACTCGGGAATAAACGCAGAAAATTTACAGTTTTATGTGCTTTGTTTTATGTTGCACTTAATATTATAAATGAAAAGATTTTTATATTTAGTCGTTTATTTATCTTCTTCTACATGCATATTTCATTTATTTCAGATAGAAGAAGGATCTCTCCTTGGACACGTGGATATCTTATTTCTACATTTAATGTGAGTACAATTTTCTTCCTATTCTTTCTGAATGTTTGCTATGGCTTTTAAGTAAATTCAGATAAAAACTGGAAACGAAAGCAGACACTCTGATTGAAGGAAAAAGAAAGTTTATTTGAATGCCAAATGATTTTTTTACAATTTAATATTTTTATAAAGAACAATCAGACAAAAAACTCAACTTATTTCTTTAAAATCAAGTATGTTGAGTTTTTCTATTGAACATCAAAAATTGCGGTTCGGAGACATCTGAATTTTAGACGTACATTTTTCGTACAATCTTTTCGCTATATTTATATCGAGTTGGCAAGCGACTTTTACGTTTAAATTCAAGAAAGTTGTCGCCAAGGAAAGGCGATTGATACGAAGAAATCCTCCATAAAAATCCAATCTTCGAAATGGCACGACAAAGTTCAGACGATCGCGACGAGTGCTTTCTTAATACCTGTCCGATACTTTTCGTCGGAACGAGAAACTTTCTTTTTTCTCTTTCTTTCTTGTACATCTATCGACGAAAATCTTTGTCTCGAAGAATCTAGAATCGATTGTACGCCGTTCGATTCAAACGAATCTGCTCGTTCCGATTTTATCTTCGTATAATTATCCGATTTCATTCCGATAAAAATCAGTATATTCTCAAACGAAAAATAACTAACAATGCGAATTCCTGATAACGAAGAATTAATTTAGCTTCAAATTGAATAAACTTGCAAACTATTTTTTTTTTTCATAAATAATTGCAATAATTCTTATTTAATGGATTTATTATAATATGAATTTCTATATATTATTATTCTTGTTATATTGAAAACATGCATTTTTTGATTAAAATATTTTTTGGTAAAATTTAATATATACATATATTTTAGATTGCAAAAAGAATTATTTACTTTCTACTTTCTCTATTTGATAATTTGTTTTACAATTTTCCATATTTCGTAAAGTATCAAGAATATGATATTTTATAGATGTTTGCATTCATTGTCAAGAAATCTGTCTAATTGAAGTTGTAAATTAGTGTCTGACGTGCGAAACAGATATTCTTTGTTGTTACACGTGTCGCAACAAATTGAAATGCGAAATGTCGAAATATATTGCTCTACAAAACGTGCTATTGTACCGCACGCAAGGCACGGAATATTTCTTTTCTCACGCGCTGCTTTTATATTACATATTCACAAGAATTCTGCAATTTTGCAGCGATTTAGAAGCGCAAATCTGAAGATTAAAGCGCACCAACCAGCTCTGTCGCTTATCTCATTGTGAGCTTCGTATAAAAATTTTTTAATATTGCGCGCATGAACCGCTTTATAATCTTCTTTTTTTGTGGTAATGGAAAACCGATATATATCAATATATTTTTCACGGTAAGAATATATTTCGCGGAAGAATAACGTCATGATTATATAATGAAAATGCGGTAGTTCTGCGCTTTATATGACGGTATATATACATATGTATATAAAGACCGGAAAGATATTAAGTGCATTACGTAATGCATTTTGGAGATTTTCATCTTACTTCCTCTGAGCTGTACGCAGCTTTTAATTTAACAAGTCACAAAGTAAAGATGATGTGTATACGGTTATTTTTCTTCCCAAGACAAAATCGTGACGCGTTCTTCCGAGCGTAAAAAAATTGCGTGCACTGCTGGTTCCCATTAGAGACTCTTTATCTACCATGCGGTACAACACAGTAAGTATTTCTATAATATACTCGTAAGCAACACATTATTGTCGCGCCGTAATCGCCTGTGTATGTGTGTGGGTGCTGTGACTTCACCTGATGCGTTCGCGGGACAATTGTCATTCAGTGGATACATGCAATTTATGATAATGTATCGCACCGCATTCCACAACTATCTTCCTTCCGTATGTATTTGTGGAGTATAAAGATTATCTATAAAAGTGTCCATCATGCGTTATGAAAATGCTCTTTACATGTTTTACATGTTGCATTATAATATATATTTTATAAGTGATACTATATAATTATTAATTAAACACTGAAAAAATGATTTATTTATTCAAATAAATATTTATTTCAATATTTCTTTATACATCATTTATTTGGAACTATATAATAATATTTGCCGTGAAAGAATATTTGTTTGATATAAGGAATTTTTTTTTTCAAAACAGATAAATATTTATAAGTTTCAAAAGAAACTGTTGAAATTAATATTTATTATTTGAATTTAGTTGTTCTTTTTTATTGAACTCAATTATAATATGTTCTCAGTTGCAACTTATTCAACGAATCGCTCTCTGTCAAATTTTAATGAAATACTTTACATTTATCATTTCTATATATATTTATCAAAACTCAGTATCAAACAAGTTTTCATTAACAAAAAATGAATATAGATCTTTCTTTTATATATAGTTCGATTAATGGCTAGGAAAAAATGTAGCCGAGACGCTGGTTCTGATTCATCTTATGCATTAATTATGACCATACTAAGTAAGTATATTCACCTTTGTAGAAAAATTCTCGGTTGATCGAACGGATAAGACGCGAGATTAGCATTTCCCGCATGCATTCATTTGCCACACGCAGAAACTACAAACATATAGCCACACAGCTCGGGGATTAACCTCTGAGAGTAGAAAAACTTGACAATCATCTCACGATTCTCTCGTGCCGCGAAAAGGATAGGACGTTTCCGTGGAGTATTATGCGCGATGACAAACATTATCTCTAACAATAAGAATGTGGCTTCTTCCACTCCAAGTCGCGCCGCGTGAACGCGTCATACGAATGCATGCACAAAATATAATACACTTGTATATACACACACACACACACACACATGAAGAAATTCACTCATTTATATTTTTGCATCGATGGACCGTAATTCATAAATAATTTATGTCGACATTGTGCGGCGGTCACGCGATCCCGATCATGTCATCCGCTTTTTGCCTCGAAACCGTGCTCTAGCTGCTGCCGTCCCTGTCCTGAATCTATCGAGAGCGGCATCTATCTCGGTCATTGTTGATTTATATGAGCCGGATTATGGTCGTTGTATGTTAAAATGCAGTAACCGATATCGTCGAGAGTTCTGCAGAGCCGTTTTAACATCGATAGTATCAGTGGCGAGCAGTTTCGATCTTTTCCAGATACGTACCTATATATTCGGGTTAAATTGAGATACTATAGTTGAGTAACATTTGTATGTGTGTTCAGAATATAAAATAAATTTTATCTATAGAATTTTTTTTTATATTTAATTTCTTAATCAAATTTTATTTTTTAATTCCAATAATTTTTTAAAAATAAATTATATCAGAGTAAATTAATATATATGTGAGGGACTCTCTTGTATAATAAAATGCGGAATATATTAATAGTGTATAATATTAAATCAAAATAAAAAATAAAATTATATTTTTTATTATTTAAGATATGTATATAATATTTAAAATAATATTTTTTTTTTTCAAACAGAAGATCGCGACCATAGTTGAACAATTCCAATTCTTTGCGAATACAATGCGATGCTATCACGCCACCCACAGCGTGATATCAACGGTACTCGTATTTAACAATCAATTGTTGAAATATGAGCCGCGAGCGCTGTTTCGCGTCAATATTTATTCGAAAACGATCAAAAAGTTCACTTTTGATTGCGATCGCAATCTCGGGGAAAGAAAAAAAAGCGACGAAGGCAGCGGTTCGAGTTTTGGCCATCGACCAAATTGCGAATCATCGAGCTAATGTTTATACTATGGTTAGGTCGGTAAAACGTGAAGAGCAAATTTATGGGGTAACGCGTTATCGTTCCGCGTCCTCGTAAACCTACCGCAATTTCATATTCGAGATAAGAGCTTCAATTAAGATACGCGCCCCGCTAATCACTTTCGCATTTTACTAGCTCAGTAACATACATAGGTCGCAGATTGCGTCGGTCGATACTCATGTTGGCAGACAGAGTTCAAATTGAATGTATATTATATAGCATTTCAATTAGCGCCTGTCAGAAGTTTAACGAAACTTAAAGTTCGGTATACATAAATCATAAAGAGAAAAAATAATTTGTTGATCAAATTTAAACCTCACGCCTCGTCTAAACCTCCAAATAAATTTTTAATTTATTTTTATTTACGAATGAAATTTATATGTATAACGATATTATGTCGATCAAAGAATTCAAAGATAGATCAATCACAATTTCGAAGAACTTTATTATTTTTTCTCATCTCTTATATATTTCATATATATATTTTTATCCCTCTTTAATCATTTTTAATATTATAAATTACATTTTTATAAAAAACAATTAGTCAATAAATTTGTTTAGTTGTGTTACATTTCTTATCTTAAATCTTTAATTAAATCTTAAATTTGATTTCTATGTAAAGTTACTTAAAAATAATTCAAGAATATGATTTGGTTGTTTATTTGCATCCTTGATTTACAAAATGTTTCTTCTTTAATTGCTAATTACTTTAAAAGTTTTAATGTCTGGATATTTTCGCAAAGAAAAAGATTGACCAAAAAATGTTTATATGCAGCATCGACTGCATGTATTAGTTATATTTATATTTCATTTATCTTCTACACGTATAATAACATTTTGTTACATGATTTATAACATTTTCATTATTTCCCGTTATCAAATGCGCCGTATTTGTTAAATAAATATTTGACCATTTGCATGCTAATCAACCCACAATGTATGATAGTTTACTGTTAAGCTGGTTATTATCTACGCGCATTAGTGCGCCTAGTTCTCAATAAGAGCTAATTATATATGCGCATATGTCATTGAAAAGCGATTGAATACAACTGTATGCATATGATTATTTCCAATTCGAATACCATGGAGTTTTTGAGAATGTTCTGTAAATATTAGATGTTGAAGCTATATTATTATATGCGGATGGAAACGATTTCGGAGTAACACAGCATATTTGTTTTTCTTACATCGTCAATTTGAAAAATTCCGTCTCCGCAGGAGGAACGCTTTAAAATATCTGTAGAAGACGAAAACCGGA